AAAAAAAAAAAAAAAAAAGTGAAAACTGGGGTGATGGGGGTAGGCTAATGGTGGGTCATGTAAAGGTCTCATGTGAAATACAAGTGATTATCTTTGACTATAAAGTAGTATCCCCATTCTCTAGAGGATACTATTAGTGGTTCTTAACTGACGACCTATATCAGAATCATCTGGAAAGGTTTTTCAAAACAGATGCCAGGCCCTACCCTACATGAAATAATTATAATCTCTGAATCTGGGACCTGGCATAAATATTTGTGAAAAAGTTCCCAGGAAGATCAACCGGATAAGCAATTAATTTAGAACATTGTTATCTAAGAAGTCTGAATGGGTTTGTAAACATCTTGTTCTTCCAAAAGAATCCTTATGCCAACAAGAGCCCTTTAACAATGGAAAGGACACGATAAGGTAAGCGGCGCTAAACTGTTCTGCACTGTAGACCCTTTGGACAAACAGAGGAAAGCCACTGACTCTCTTGCTGAAAAATGTACACACAACATTTTGCCATAGAATTTCAGGAGTTTCGGGACACCCTGAGGGCCTTCCTGGGACTTCTACTGTAGAACAATTTTCTGAGGAGCTAGGATACCCATACATCAGAAGCAGCAGATACAGAGGTTCAGAGCATGGACTTGGGAGCCAGAACACCTGATTTCAAATTCTGACTCTGACAGTTTCCTGTCTGTAAAATGTAGATCACAAAGTACTGAATTCATGGGGTTGTTATGAGGACAATGAGTTAATATTTGCAAAGCACAGTGAACAGCCTTGACTCATAAGTACTGTAGTAAGTGTCTGTTCAAAAAAGAAAAATTCGGCTGGGTGCAGTGGCTCATGCCTGTAATCCCAGTAGGCGTGAGCCACCATGTGAGCTTTGGGAAGCTGGGGCAGGCGGATTACCTGAGGTCAGGAGTTTGAGACCGGCCTGGCCAACATGGTAAAATCCCATCTCTACTAAAAGTACAAAAATTAGCTAGGCATGGGGGCATGTGCCTGTAGTCCCAGCTACTCAGGAGGATGAAGTGTGAGAATCAGTTGAACCCAGGAGGCAGAGGGTGCAGTGAGCCGAGATTGCGCCACTGCACTCCAGCCTGGGCAACAGAACAAGGCTCCATCTCAAAAAAAAAAAAAAAAAAAAAAAAAAATTCACTCTGCTTTCACCATCTCCTGTTTTACCTCTTTTACTCAGAATCCTCATTAAGGATAACCACATTAGACTTATCTGAAATCTTACACATGCTCAGATGTAGTACCACTATCTCGTTAAAAAAGAGATTAGAAGAAATTTTTAAAAAGGCTTATCGGCAAATTGTTAGCTTAATGGTTCCTTTTGCTACTGCCTTGGTAAATTATCATCTCTTTACAGGATCAACTACACAGGTCATTCATTGGGGAAAGCAGTTCATCTCTTTTACATTAGCTTTTCAAAATCTGTATTTTGCAGCTCTCAAATTTTCCCTCTAGGCTAGAACTGGGTTCATTTCAAGAATATAGGCTTCCCCAGATCTGACTCCTGCCTACCTCTCCAGCCTATTTCCTTAACTACAAATACATCAAAATTACTTCTTATTCCCCATATACTGGAAGTCACAGCTTTGTACCTTTTTTATATGTTGTTCTTCCTTTTTTTTTTTTTTTGAGACGGAGTCTGGCTCTGTCACCCAAGCTGAAGTACAATGGTGCGATCTTGGGTCACTGCAACCTCTGCCTCCCAGGTTCAAGCGATTCTCCTGCCTCCTGAGTAGCTGGGATTACCAGGCGTGTGCCACCACGCCTGGCTAATTTTTCTATTTTTAGTAGAGACGGTGTTTCACCATTTTGGTCAGGCTGGTCTCGAACTCCTGACCCCGTGATCTGCCCACCACAGCCTCCCAAAGTGTTGGGATTACAGGTGTCAGCCATCACACCCAGCCTATATGTTGTTCTTTCTGCTTAATATTTTCTTCTGCTTAAGCTTAGTACTGTCTGGAAAATACTTATTTAACCTTAAGGTTCAGTTCAAGATTAACACTTCCCAGAAAGCTCTAACCCCTCCCCACAGCACCCAACGCATTCAATTCTATGATAGCATATAATAATGGCTTACTTCTGGCTCACCTATAATACAATGAGCTCCTTGAATGCAGGGTCTGTCTCTCATCTTCGCTAGCATATTGACTACCTCAATAAATATTTGTTCCATGAAAATAAGGGGAAGATGTTCAACAAATAAAAATGAAACACTGTGTTTCTCAACATTGTTTCTACCTCAACATCATTCATATACATAACAGAATCCCATCAGTAACATCTCTCATTAGGCACACTGATTCTCAATGAGGCAGGAATGGGGGGATGGGATGATGTATGGGTTCTTTTGGTTTCAAATCACTGAGCTAAATAATATGTACATGCTAACAAAGGATAAAATAGGTAGTGGATCACAATCCAAAGAATGCTAGGTTCTCCAAGGATATGCCAATCATATTTTGGGTGTCAAAAAAGAACCAAGGGAAAAACACAGTAGGAAGTCAGTTTAATTCCAATCCTGATGCTGACTGCTCTTAAATATAACTAAATCAGCCTTAAAGAGCATGATATTGTTGTTGGAGGGAGAGAGGAAAAGAGAACGACAGTTTCTTGTTTTCTTATTTAAAAATTCACTATCCCAACAGGTATAGAGAGTAGGAAGATAGAATCCAGACAAGTTTCTAAACTATTTTCCAAGAGCTATAACATCATGCCTAGATTGCCTGAGGGAAATCAATGATCACATATATATCCAACTGCCTACTTAATATCTTCACTTGGATAATAGGTTGCTCAAAAGGAATATGTCTAAAACCAAACTTTTTTTTAAAAAAATTAACTTTTATTTCAAGTTCAGGGGTACATGTGCAGGCTTGTAATATAGGTAAACTTGTGTCATCAAAGTTTGTTGTACCGCTTATTTTATCACCCAGCTATTAAGCGTAGTACCCATTAGTTATTTTTCCTGATCCTCTCCCTCCTCCCACCCTCCACCCTCTAGCAGACCCCAGTGTGTGTTGTTCCCCTCTTTGCGTCCATTTGTTCTCGTCATTTAGCTCCCACTTATAAGTCAGAACATGTGGTATTCGGTTTTATGTTACTGTGTTAGTTTGCTAAGGATAATAGCCTCCAGCTCCACCCATGCTCCTGCAAAGGACATGATCTCATTCTTTTTTATGGGTGCATAGTATTCCATGGCATATATGTACCACATTTTCTTTATCCAGTCTATCACTGATGCGCATTTAGGTTGATGCCATGTCTTTGCTATTGTGAATAGTGCTGCAATGAACATATGTGTGCATGTGTCTTTATGATAGAATTATTTGTATTCTTTAGGGTATGTATCCAGTAATGGAATTGCTGGGTCGAGTGGTATTTCCATTTTTAGGTCTTACCTTTTTTTTTTTTTTGAGACAGAGTCTTGCTCTGTCACCCAGGCTGGAGTGCAGTGGCGGGATCTTGGCTCA